CCCCAAAACCCCAAAACCCCAAAACCCCAAAACCCCAAAACCCCAATAAAGCTGAAGTTAGTTGATAAATCCATAAACAATAATTTAAATGTGATGTTTACTGTGTTACTGAAAGGTCAAGGTAGCCCAAGTCACTATGTTCATTTCAACTCTTTTATTGTTTGTAAGTATCAATTCTGAAGTTATAAGCTAGGAAATTTGAAATTTTAGCATTTAGGAATGTCAATTTACTTCTGAGATATCTGATTTTAGCTGAAAATTTTTGTTTAACACTATACAACACCTCCTAGATAGTTAGGAACAATTGAGATGAAGTGCTATAACACAGAGAGGTGGTCAGCTAGAGACTCCTGGTCATTGCAAAGTGCTCTGAAGGTTCTCCACTAGTTACAAGCCTTGAAGTCTCTGTACACATCTGTTTGATGCAAGTCTTGATCTGATTCCCTTTACTGTTAACAATTCCTATATAGGTTGCGATAGCCTTAATAATTTATATGAAGATGATTGTGAGAGATAGCCCCTTTTTTGAACTCATTGATACATTCTCGAATGACTACAAGAAAATATGGCATTATATTCTGACGGTATGAATATTATACATACTTGTCTTGATACTTTTGGGAACCTGCATCTCATTGATAAGATACTGTTGTATTCACTTTGTTCATTCCTGCTACTGTGTCCTTCTTACCATAATTTTTATCCTAACCGCTTACATTGGAGTAACTGCTATTTATGTTTCCATATTTTATGCGAATGAAATAGATGAACTCTGCTATAATGATCATGATGAGCACGATTTGGAGGAAGCTTATCTACACTTTTATTCTGATGCGGAGACCTTCTTCTGCACTTCAGACTGCCCATGTTATATTGGAGAAACAGACTATGCGACTGGGCTGCATTCTTCAACAACAAATTCTTCTCATTATACTAAAGCACAGTCATGTTCAGACCTTGCTTGGGAAGCTTTCAGATACTACGACGCTGATTTCAATGATGTTGATGATGTTGTTTCATTTTTAAACCTTATAGGTAAAATAGAGAGGATTCACAAGTGTTCTGGTATCTGCTCTACGAAATCAGTCTACTTCTTCAGTGACTCCTCCAAAGGTAAAGTGACTAGACTCTGATCTTTAGGAAAACCTGAGAAACCCTGCAAAGATGTTATCCGAAACTTCTTTTTTCCAGGTGATGTTTATATATTCGGAGTGTGCTGTACAGTTGTTGCAAATATTCTGTTTTTAAACTGGCTTATTCAGTTTAGCTTGTGATGTAGAAGAAGGAAGAGCAAGAAGGTTATCATGCAAGTGCCTAATCAAGCTGTCAGACAAGGTCCAAACCCTGTTGTCAGACAAGGTCCAAACCCTGTAGTCAGGCAAAGTCCAAACCCTGTTACTGTGCAAGGTCCTAACCCTGCTGCTGTTCAAGGTTCTAATCCATCTGTAGTTTATGTCGTAGTACCGAATGGATAGTAAGTACTCTCTTAATATTTGAGTTAATTTTTTTTTAAGAAACCAGGCTGTTACTATTCCTTATAGTGTGCCTTACAGACATGGAGGACTGCAAAATGTATCCCAACATAATTTAACTCATCATAAAATGAACGAGGACGAGGGACAACAGAACTTATATCAGTCGAATGAAGTTGAAGTCTCAGCTCATCTGGATAATAGTCCAAATGCACCAAGTGCTGCAGGGGCTGAGAAATCTTTAAATGATATGGGCACTTCTGATGCTAAGAATCTTACAAATGATGAGGATCATAAAGAAGCATCTATAGCTCCTGATGTTGTAAATGATTCAGATCCTCATGATATTAACAATGCTGCAGATGATTCAGAATTTTTAGATGCCTCTAGCTCTTTGGGTGATGAAGGACCTTCTGATAACACAATTCCTAACGCTTTATTACACCCTCCAGATGCTGAAGAAGCACACGATGTCGAAAAAGCACACGATGCCGAAGCAGAACCTGATGCCGAAGCAGAACCTGATGCCGAAGCAGAATCTGATGCCGAAGCAGAACCTGATGCCTGAGAAGCATCTGAGGTTGAAGAAGTACCTGATGCTGAAGAAACTAAGGAGGATAAAGATATTGAGAATAACGAGGACGGCAAAGAACCTGATAATGTTCTTGTATCTGATGAAGTTCAAGAAGCTGAAGATATCCTTGATAATCAAGAAGCTGCAGATTCAGCTTCTATAGATGATGTAGTTGAAGACTTGTATAGCAATCCAAATGACTTTTAAGTCTATCACTCCAAGATAGCCAGGATACAAATGAAGATGAAGCTCACTAGTGTTTCTTTTCGCGAAGTACTCGATAGGCATCGAGGTATTCCAGATGCCTCTTGCCATCACTGAACTCTCTGATCTTGTATTAATGGACTATTTATGCTACTTCCTTCTCAATTGAGGTATTTTTACTTGTGAATCCACTACTTCTAAAATTATCAAATGGGAAGTTATAATCTAGCAACTAGCTCTTTCAAATGAAGCTTTGGGAGATAGCTTTGAGTGAGTCTTCACACTCGAGAAATTTAGGCGTTTGTGTAAATGAGCGGGATAATGAGAGATGTAATGGCCCATTTTTGGAAATCTTTCTAGCCGTTTCATATTCGAAAAATTTTGTTTATTACCTTTTGTATAAATTTGAACGAGCTTATAAAAGATTAATAGCTGTATTTAGTGTGAATATGTAAGAATTGTGCTAAATATAATAATAAAGTTCCTCATCCACATTTGAAAAACATCATTAGTATCTAATTTTCAAATATAACTTCAGCATATTCAACTCAAAATCCTCATAAAGGGGTTTTGGGGTTTTGGGGTTTTGGGGTTTTGGGGTTTTGGGG